ATATATATATATATATAAAGGCGATCTAAAGCATAACTAATAATAGTATTTCATTATATAATTTTCCATTTCTATAAGTAGAATGCACTTACGGAACACTACCAATGGTGTCTTTTTCATGATTGATGAAAAACCGAAAGATTCTTTGTAAAAATATGAGAGTGCAAGAAAAATCAAACGACTCTAACCTCGCTACACCCAATCATGCGATGCCACAATATAAGAGAGCTACTTAGTCTCCAGTTACGTTGAGTCGCACGGCTACGCTACCTTGGCGAGACACGCTGTCCCGTACCATCGACGTGCGAGTTCGCCTTGTAGCCACATTTTTGTACACGTCTAGACAGTCTTGCGACCCAATATTTTTGTTCATCAGGACTACCAGCCAAAATTAATAGTTCGCGAGCGCTATTTGGATCATAATGTAATTTACACGGTGCTATGGCATCCTCCTTTTTGTCCAAATGCTCCTTATGTACTTTTATACGACATCCTATATACAAATATAATAATTTGATATTAAAGTATTAAAGTGAAAATTAATAAAAATTAATATTAAGTATAAAAATTTAATGATTTTAATCATTTTTAATATTTATAAGTTTTATAAACGTTGATCATATATACTTTCAATTCATATCATTATAATTTATATTACAGTAAAATGAAATAAAATTCAAACAATGCATTCAATGTTAGAAAAAAACGGATAAAAATAACATATAAAAATTCATTAAACGAAATATTTTTTATTTTATTTCATACTTACGTCGACACTCGAGAGCTGGCGGTGGTCGAAACATATGCCATAGTTGTTTTGAGCATACCTCACAAGTAGTTGGCATGTGATACGATATTGATACAAATTCATGACCTTTTAATGATTGCGTGCCTGGTTTGTCAGTAAGTTGTGGCAATTCCACTCCAGGCAGTGTATTTCCTTCATCACCAGGACGTCTTGCTTCGCCTTCGCCAGCATATAATAACTATAAACAAAAAAAAAAAGGAATGTAATTGTATATATTAAATGTGCAATATATAAATCTAATTAGTGTAAATATAATTATTAAATATTTTATTTACTTGAAAAATCCTCGGAATATCTTTGGCATCGGCTCGGATGACATCACCTTGCGTAACAGATCTAACGTGGAAGACTTTATTTAAATCCAATATCAATACTGGATCAGCATTTAATTTATCATTTTCGCTATTATAAAATATTATTTTCTTTGAAGAGACGACAACGTATTGTTTCTTCCATCCGTGCCTTTTAATATTCTGTTTATTTGGCACATTTAACCAACCTTCTAATCGCATGGTTCCATGTTCTGATAAAACAGAATCCTCTCCGTCGTTTTCTACAGACGAAACACTAGCTGTTTCTGAATTGAGTGAAGCAATCTTCATTTGTAAGGTTTCTATTTCAGAATCTTTTGAGTCAAGTTCCATTTGCAATCTCAATTTTGCTTGATTTTCTTCCACCAATTGAGCCTAAAAAATATAATAAAATTGATAAATAATACCATTACAATAAACTAATTAAAAATGTTAATAAATAATAATAATAATTAATAATAAATATTAAAAATAATACAAATATTTGTGCAAAATTGAAAATATATGATATTCCACTTACTTGTAAATCTTGTAAATCTTTTTGCCATTTAGCTGCCAATTGTCCATATTTCTCTCTTTCCTGAGTAAGCTCCTGTTGCAAACGCCTACAATCTTTTTCCTTCTTTCTTAAATCTGCTGCAGATGCTTTATTCTTAGATTTACCGCTTGAAGATAAATCTTTTCTATTCATAATCTCTGCTAATTTATTAACTGCTTGTTGTTTCAATAGTTGTTCAGTTTTTAATTTACTGCTGAGTTTTTCTATTTCCTCTGCATTAGATTGTGCCTTAGAAAGTTGATCTTGCAATTCTTTAAACCGTTTATTTAAATCTTCTTTTTCTTTGAGATATTGATCAACATTTTTCTTGAGTTCACTTTCACTATCTTTAAGCCGATTTATAATTTGTTCTTTTGCATTTAATTCTTGATGATGTTTAGTTACTCCATCTTTATATTCTAATTCTTTCATCGTTCGTTCTTTTTCGAGATCTGCAACAGTTTCTTCAGCTATTGATCTTGCCAAAGCTTCACTATCTCCTCTTGCTAGAGATAACTGTAATTGATGTACCAAAGAACTACGTTCTTCCTCCAATTCTTGCTGTAATCGTATTTTTTCATCAAGTTCCTCTCGAAGTTCTTGAGTTTGTGTTTTATAAAGTGTCTGAAAATAATCAATAAAAATTTATAATAATTACATTGAAAAAAATAATAACAATAATTTATATTGCATGTGAATTCACCGAAAAGTAAGCTTCTGCTTCTAATTGTTCTTGTAATTCTTTAGTTTGTAATTGATCTACATTTCTTTGAGTTTTTAAATGATGTAATTCCTCTTCTATTTGTCGTTTCGCTTCCCTTAATTGAGCAACTTCACCGACTAATTGCTGTTCCCTAGCACGTAAACGTCCTGCTTCGGATGATTGCTGAGCCAAGTCAGTCTGCAGAACGTTTCTTTTTTGCTGTTCTTGTTCAACCTGACCCTGTAGCACTTTTACTTTTTCCATCTCTTGCCTGTGCTCACCCTCTAGTTTCTGTAATCGTTGTTGTATCTGCCGATAATCCACAGAAAGCATAGAAGTTTGTCTTTCCTTTTCTTGTGCAAGCAATTCAGCACGTTGTCTTCCACTTTTCTCTTCATTTAATTTTGCTTGTAATGCTGTTAATTTTACATTAATTGTATAAACACATTTTACATTAATTGTTAAACAATAAGTAAATGAATTTAAATATAATAATATACATACTTAAATATAATAAATATCATCGAGAGCAAACATTCCAAAATTTTTAAAATTGCAATTAATAATAAAATAGATTAAGCATAAAACAAAATAATTATATTTATATATATTTATAGATATAGTTAAAATGTAAGTAAATATAAATACAATGTAATTTTCGATAATTGAATTTTTAAAACATGCATATTAATTAATTGATCAAATTGCAATTCAATGTAATATTAATATATAATAGTATAAATAATATTAATAGTATATGCAGTATATGTAGCATTAATATATAATATATATTATTAAATATATTATATATTATTAATATATTATTATATATTAATATATATTTTATATATAGAAAAAATAAAATTAAAAAATAAAAATAAAATTTAAATAGTTTAATAGTTTAATAATATTTCTTTCATTCTGATAGATGTTTATCAGATAAAAATATAAAACTTTTAAAAAATAATATTGAAGTTAAATAAAGAATGAATAAAATTACCCTTGACAACTTCTAAATTAGCTTCTTCTTTGGATAATATACGTGAACGTTCTGTTTCTTGATGAGCTACAACTTCCTGATTGTATCTAGCTTGAGCAGCTTTCAATTCAAGGGTTAAGCTTGCAGCTTCTTTTTCCAATGCTGAAATTTTTTCAGTTAATTGTCTGTTATCCATGATTGCTTTTTCCTCTTTTTCTCGGCTGTGTTCAAGTTCGAGATGAAGAGCAGAGAGACGACTTTCTAATTCAGCAGTTAGCGATGATGCTTGTGATCGAGAACTACGTTCTTTCGACAATTGTCCCTATAGAATTATATATTAGAAGATAATTTTATCATTAAAATATAATTATTTTTTTTAAATATAAAAACTTACTTGTAATGTAACCACTTCCTGTTGTAAATTGTCTCGTTGCGCTTGTAATTGTGCTCTTGCCACTTGTAATTCATTTGCCATTTGTTCTGCAGCTTGACGAGCGACAGTAATTTCCGTAGCTTGTTTCCGTAATCTTGTAACTGTTTCCGTTTCTCTTTCTAATTTCGATTGCATTTCTTTAATTTGTTTTTCTAAACTAGTTACACGTTCAGAAGTTTGTTGTGAATTACTTGCATCGCGTGCTCTTTTTGTCTGTTCTTCATCAAACTTCTTTTTCAATTCTACAAATAATGATTCTGCTTTTCTACGTGATTCAATTTCATGTTCTACCCTACGTTGTGCTTCTTTATAATTATGTCTTAACAAAGTTAATTCTTTGTCAGCTCTACCTATTTCTTCACGTAATTCAGTTTCTCGACGTGTCATAACTTCCAATTGTGTTGTCAAAGCTTTTTGCCTTGATTCTAAAGATTCTACTTGCCTTTTTTCTTTATCCAATAAATTTTCTAATTGAGAAATTTTTATATCGTCGCTTGTACCATTATTGATATGATTTTCTAATCCATCTACTGATTCTTTCCCATTAAAAGCTAATAATTGATAATCTCCTGAATATGTAAAACCAATAAAAGGTAAATGATTTCCCGAAAATGCTTTTGGTACTGGAAAACTTTCTTCTGGTCCATCTTCTTTATCAACATCTTCAAAATTGCTAGTATCATCATCACCAGAAAGTTCTGGCACGACAGGAGGCACACATTCTCGTAAATTTTCAAATGTCCATTGATCGTTTTTAAAGAATAAATGATTTTTTATTTCTTCCACACCATTTCTGCCCAAACGTTTAGTTCTATCCGTAAGGAAACCACATATCAAATTCTTGGCAGAGTGAGAGATATCAACTTCTTGCGGAAAATGTAATGAATTTCTATGATCCATGATTTTTGAATATGTTCCAACTAATGAATCTGCATAAAATGGAGTATCACCAACAAGCATTTCATACAAAAATACACCAACTGACCACCAATCGCATTCTCTTCCATATACACCTTCACCACCTTGAGATTGAAGTACTTCAGGTGATATATAATCAGGTGTACCTACTGCAGTATCAGATCGAACAAGACCATCCTAAAAAACATATGATTGAATATTTTTATATGTTACTTTTATATGTTTTTATTTAAATTTGATAATAAATATTACAGAAAATATACATACAACATCCATTCTCATACAAGTGCCAAAATCTGCAAGTTTTAAGTGACCATGCTTATCAAGTAACATATTATCTGGTTTTACATCTCTATGAACAAATCCCATAAGATGTATTGCATCTAATGCAAGCACCACTTCTGCGCAATAAAATTTTGCCCATTTTTCTGGTACATCATAATTTGACATTAAATTCACTAAATCACCACCTGGCATGTAATCCATTACCATATATAGATATTTTTGATCTTGAAATGCAAAATGAAGTTGAACTATCCACTGTGAATTGGCATGTGCCATTATATCACGTTCTTCCCAAAAAAATGCTGAATCTGATCGTTTGATCTAAAATACATAAAAACAAAATGTAATATATATATAGAAAGATCAACCTATTTATAATATAATTGATATATTTTTTACCATTTCAAATTTACTGAGTAATTTCATAGCATATACTTTTTGTGTAGATTTATGTCGCACTAACTGTACTTCCCCAAATGCCCCACGACCTATTACTTTTATTAAAGTGAAATCATCTGTACGCATTCGCATTTTACAAATATCTTGAGCTACTGAGTCATCTGAAAATATATTTGTTAATTTTAATTTACTATAATTTTACTATTTTACTATTATTAAATTTTGAAAAATTAATATAAATAATAATATGGCATTATTAATATATAATCAAGTACATTAATATTTTTTAAAATATTTTAAATGAAAAAAAATTAATTATATTACTTCATTATTTTAATATAATTTATTTTTTAATGATAAAATTCTTAAATTTTTAGAAATATAAGCTTTATAATAAAATAATAAAATATCTAGTATATTTAATACAATGTTATTTAATATAAATATTATTTTATAATAATAAAAAAATTAAATACTTACATCTATTCATATATGCTTCTATATTTTTCATACGTTTAACGCTGGGGTGATCACAATCTGCCACCAGGGCTTGGACTGTATCCAATAAGCAATCAATATTTGTAATGCTTCTTGGATCTTTTATACGTTCTTCCAGCACCCTCAGGCGCCTGCGCCTGTCTTCATCTCGTATTACATCCATTTCTTCTATTACAAGCTAAGAATAATTTCCTTCAAAAATGTAGTTTTCTTTTTGATGCATCAAAAACAATGTAAAACAAAAAGCTACATGTAATATGAGCAAAAATTATGCACTGTAGCAATATTAAATGGGCAGTCCATGTTTCCTAAAATAATAAAACAATACTGATATATTCTTTTTAAAAATATTTAGATATAAATGATAACATGTAATTATTGTTCTTATAAAGATTTATAAAGATTATAAATACTATAAACTTATTATATAAATATCTAAACATAATTATCAATAATTTAATATAATTTTTGGAATAATTCAATAATAAATTTATAATATTATGTCTTATATATTATATCTTATATATAAGCAATTATGCATTAATATATATATATATATATATATTAAACTATATATATTAGTAAAATCAAAATTATAATATTATAAAATTAAACAAATATCTTATATTAAAATGACACAAAGTAAAAATTTAATAAAATATCACTTTCAGACATAACTTTAAAAAAAAATAAAAAAATTAAATAATACACATTTATATTTAAAATGCATAAAAATTTATGGAAAAATACTACAAAATACAATATATGATGACTCAACATAATTTATATACAACAAAACATTATTTATTAAGAAATAGTGATTATATCGAATGATTTATAAAAAATAATATTCAATTATTTGTAAAAATAATATTTTTTAAATTAACATTTATTTTTTTCATTAACGCAAACAAAATTTTTTATGTTCATCTTATTATTTTCGCGAAGAAATTTTTATAATATAAATGCAAATTGTAAAATTTACTAAACAACTTGATATTTTCTTTTCAATATTTTAATGAAAAATAAAAAATTCATGAAGTGACAATTCGAAGAAGTCTGTCAAGAAGCTTGTAGAGGTAAGGTGGATCTCATGCAGGTACTTCTGAATCCGTCATAAAAGATTTTCTAAATATTCCGTGTTTTTCATCATCGATTAATTAATGTCAGAAGAAAATTCATTCTAACGTACCTAATATCACGAATACCGTGTCCAGTACTTCGTCTAATTGAATAAAAATACTATAAAATACATTATTTTTCTACGTAAATTGGTCGCGATTGCACACAGCTGAGCCGTGCATGCGCCATTGGAAAAACTCACAACGGTCATCAAATGAAAATTCGCAGAAAACTTAAAATAATTCAATTCATTTTTTGATCCACACACGATGATCCTCAATTTTTATTTAGAAAAATTAATAGATTCAAATTTTCACATTATTTAATTTGAAAATAATTAATATTTTTGATGAGATTTTTGGTTATTTGCACTGTTCTTGACACCATTTAAATGTTCGTTGTTTCAAAATTGACAACATAAATATTACCCTTCCTTCATACATATATATTATTTGAATCAATAAAACTCAAAAAGTTTCACGTATTATCCAAAACTATATTAAAAATCATTGAGATGGAGCATCAACGACTTCGGAAAAACGATATAATGGATTAAAAGCATAACTAAGATGGCGTAGTATTCGACGCACTAAGTAAGATACAGGTTTTTGCACTTGTGCTATCTACTTATAATCTAGAATTTCTATAGTTAATCTGAAAACCGTTCTCAGAATTGCAATTCTGAATAAATTACATGATTTAAGACTATATAATGCATTATACAGTTCTGTAATATGGAAAAATACTTAGTTTTCCCGCGCGTATTTTGATGTACATTGAATAGTTTTACGAATTTTTTTAGCACTGTTTATATCATATTTTATATTTATAGCGATAATACATAAATAGATAGGTATGTATAATAATTAAGCTTATTATATTAAAGTATTGCTTTTTTTTTTAATATTTAAGTCTTTTCTTATAACTTGTTTTTCTTTTATTTTTTTCTATTCTTATCTTTATTATTACAGTTTCATCAACGCATAATTGCGTGATTTCTATTTAATCTTATACTCTGAATTGTGCAGAGATGGATCTGCCCTGTGATTGGCAGATCAACAAACAAAAACTTTTAGAACGTACTCAATATTTATTAGAAACAGGACAATGGTCTGACTGCAAATTTGTAGTTGGTCAAGAACCCCATCAACAAACATTAAAAGGACATAAATTATTTTTAGCTATGTCTAGTCCTGTTTTTGAAGCTATGTTTTTTGGGGGTATGGCAGAAAAAAATGATTTGATATCTATTGAAGATGTTCAACCAGAAGCTTTTAAAGCTCTATTGGAATACATATATACAGATCGAGTTGATTTAAATTCTTTTGAACTAGCCTGTGAATTATGTTATTGTGCCAAAAAATACATGCTTCCTCCTTTGATAAAAGAATGTACAAAATATCTATGTTCTGATGTGTCTCCAAAAACAGCTTGCAGAGCATATGAATTTGCTAGATTATTTGATGAACGTACATTGATGGAAAAGTGTCTTGAAATTATTTGCACAAGGACAAATGAAGTTTTAAGAGAACCTAATTGGGAAGAAGTTGAATTAGAAACACTATTAACAGTGTTAGAACAAGAAGATTTACAAATAAACTCTGAAGTGGAATTATTTATTGCAGTGGAACGTTGGGCAAAAGCTGAATGCACAAGAAAATCTCTTGATCCTAATGATGGAAAGTCTTTAAAGTCAGTAATTGGTAATGCATTATCAAAAATTAGATTTTTAAGTTTAAGTGCTCAGGAATTTGCAGAAGGGCCAGGAATGTCACCATTGCTTACTCAAGATGAAACTTTTGCAATACTCATGAATACATTATGTACTGGGAATAAAGCACCTATGCCTGAAGGATTTTCAACTAATTCACATAGTAGAATTAATATATGCAAACCTCCAATTACACATATAACTTGTTCACTTGTAAGTTGAATAAATATTGTATAACATAATTTTTGAATTTTCAGTACCTTTCATAAAATTATATTTTGTAGAGGTCAGTTAATCCATGTTATAAACCAGTTGATCCATATTTTAAATCATTTATGCCACACTATTGGTCTTCATATGATCAACCTGTATCTATCAATGAAGCTGAATCTAGTGGTACATTATCAAATGCATTGCCAATAATGGAAGCAAGAAAGGATGCTGAAAATTTATCTATGAATAATTCATCTCCTGTTGTAATTGAAAGTGCTATGAGAGAATTAACAAAACAATATTGCTTAAGATCTTTACCTCGAAATAGTATTATAACAAAATGTGTTAATACAAATGTATTAGAATGTTCTGTAACATTTAGTGTAGACAAAAATATTTGGGTATTGGGTGTGCAAGTACCTACACAAGTAAGTTAAGTAATATTAAAGATACATAATATTTAGGTTTTATATTAAATGCCATATATTTTTATTACAGATTAACGACAATATTTATCGTATTGATAGCGTTTCATATACCGAAGTTTTATATGCTCATCTTCTCGATTCAGATAATACTCGGTTAACTTATACCCATTTTTCTACGAAAGTAAAAATGAATACTCTTGTGGAAATTACGTTTAATCGAGCTGTTTATATTTTAAAGAATAGGGTATAGATTAAAATAATTATTTTAAATTATTGTAAAATGAAAATTTTTTAATTATTTTTTAATTCTAGGTTTATCGAGTTGGAGTAGTATTTAATGCACGTGGCAAGTATCCAATAGGAGTTTGTACCCAAAATATGACCTGTGATTCTGTATCCTTTTCATTCCGTGTTGGTAATAGTACAGATAATGTACGAGATGGTCTCATTCGATCTATAGTTTTTACACATCATGATACCAATAATATGTAATACCAATAATAAAAATGGCTTACATAAAAAAATGAATTTAAATACGTATTTTAAATTTTAATGATGAAATAGTATGTTATTCTGTTTTATACTTCTGATGTATTATTATATTTTTTAAATTATGTCGGTGCTATCATTAAAAACTGTACAAAAGTATATTCATTGGTTCTAGTTATAGAATTTAATTTGTATAAAACAATTCTTTTAATTTGTATAAATGTTAAATGTTAACGTTTTTATTATATAAAAAAAAGTCTGACTTTAAAAATTGAAATTTTTAATTAATAGATTATACATTAATATGTTTTTGTTTATTTTAAAATTACTTTTGTTGTATTAATCAAGTTATAATTTTTAAGAAATTGTTATTGTACAAAATGTTATAAAAAAATAATTGAAAATTGAAGTAAAGATATGGCTATATTAATAATATATAAAACGTCATTTGTTTGTGTTATTTTTTTATTTTAATTGTAAATATAAACATAAGAAAAGTTGCATATTTCTTAAATATATATCAAAAAGAATTAACAAAATTTATGTAAAAAATTTTTATTTATTTCGTTTAAATTTTGTAATTGTTTTTTTTTAATATTTTCATATTTTGATACATCAATATGTATAACTTGTTTTAAATATAGAATATATATTTTCTATATAGATTTTATAACAATTATATAATTAATATAATATTAAATTTTTTTTCTATTTATTTTCTTATTATATATATATATATATATAAACTTTTATAAAATATAATCAGTCTATATAGTAATATATTTTTATAAAATAAAAAAATAAGAAAATAATACATCTAGATTAATTAAATTTGTGTCTTGAACATTGGACAATGTTCTTACAATTACTAAAATTATTAAAATTTATACATTGTCGATACAAAATGTATGATATAATTAAATAACTTTTAATACAAGCAAATAATAATTTTGTAAATTTATATTTTAAAAAAATTCTGCGTTTTTGATTGTCTATTATGTTTTATGTATAATAAAATCCCATGTGTCTTTCCATCTTAATTTTAAAATTTCCTTGGCACTCAAATTAGTTGTACCATAACTAAGAACACTAAATTTTTTAAATACATAAATGACAAAAATTAACCATGTAATAATACCAAATTTTAATATATACATTAAAAAATTGTGCTGATATCGAATTCTGAAAATAAAATATTGATTTGATCTTTATACAGTATATAAAATATATAAGAATCAATATTGCAATAAATTTATATAACTGATTAAATGATTTCTTTTTTAAAGGAATCATAAATTCTCTCTAATAAAAAATTCACAAAACTTTTCATATATTTCGATTTTTTAATTTTAATATTTTGAAATATATTAAAAACTATCAAATTATGTCTTCACTAAAAAAGCAAATACTATATATTTATATTTTCCGAAAAAATGTATATAAAATAATTTTTTTTTAATTATTTTATTATTCTATTAAATAAGTAATAATAATAAGAGAAAAATGACTATTTTTCAACATACCTAATAAGATAATACAGATGTTCTATTGTTGCTGCTGTAAGCAATAATTTAAAGATGAATGCCGGTAAATAATGATGAAGAAATAGAGTTCTTTCAACAAATATAAAAGGTAAAAAGTGTAACAAATATCCAGTTAATAAGATACTTCCAATATTAGAAAATTTGTTCCATTCTTCGCGTGTAATATCAAAACACATTCGTCTTCGTCTTAAAATATAAAATATTAAAAGAAATGAATATATAATTATACATATTGTGCCAGAATACCAAATTGCTATATTTCCTAAAAGATGTACTTGAGCCTATCAAAAGAATCAACAAATATATCAATATTAATTAATGTCTATGAATATTTATAATAAAATATTAAAATATTAATATAAATAATAATTTGTGAAGAATTTTTATATATATGTAATAAATTATTATATGTATATAAATTTTTTCTTCACAAATTATTATAATTATATATATATTTACATTACTATCATTGGAAACCCAATATGCAATTCCTCTAGACATTAATGGCCAATCTAAGGGATCACTAGAATACATGTGACTATTTTGTCCTTCTTGACCACTAAAGAGCATTTTTAATTGTAATTCTATAAATTTCTCCCAAAAATTCAAAGTAGTAGCTTGTAATGGAATCATTTCAGCATTAATCAACTCTCTTTCTCTTTGTTTTTGATCTTCACTTTTAGTATATCTATGTTCTTCAACATTCCATATGGAATCTGTTTGATCTATTAATCTATCTGCAACTATTTCATGCTGATTGAAACCCCAATCAGGCAATTGTCTTCCACTAAATTTTAATGCATAATCTGTATTTACATGTATCAATCGTATTTGACTTTGAATTGCATGCCAAACATCACCAGTACTATCTTTATTACTAATTTCCACTTTCCAAAAATTTTGAGCAGGCATAGATACATTATAATCAATATAACAAGATACTTCTTGACTCTGAGGTGTCATTGGAGCAGCAACATCATGTGAATTTAATGCTCGACTTGTAATTCCATGTACTAATTGTATTATATCACCATGCTTTATTGGTTCACTAGGTTTTGTAACAACTAAATCATTTCTTTCTGGTTTTTTTACAATCCACCAATTGTTAACATCTTTAAATGAGTAACAAGTAACTTGTTGTTGATGAGAACTACCTCTTCCATCTGGATATCTTAATGGATACATATGATTATGACTATGAAGCCAGCAAGCTCTTCCATATGTATGTCTTAAAGTAATCTGTGATCCATGTGTAACTTCTAGAGGTTGACCTTTTGTAATGCTAGCTAAACCACCATCTAAACTTGCTTGAAAAGCACTTGTCATTACTGAATCATGTGGTCCAGCTTTAGAAAGTGTTGTTAAATGTATATAAAACACAGTCAAATATATAATACAAATGATACTTAATATTACAAAAATTCTTATTATAAGATGAATGCATAATACTGTATTAGATAAAGTTTTTCTCGGTATTAAATTCCAATAATCATAAGCAATTAAAAATAATGATAGAATCAATGAATATAATCCAACATATTTGACACTGAAAAAAATTTATATTAAATTTAAAATAAATTTATTAAAAATATATACATAATTTTTTAACTTATACCATAATGCACATGTTAAATTTGCAATTCCTAAAATTAACCACAGCCACCAAGATAAATTTGTTGGTTGATCCATTATTTTTCTAAATTTCATAATGCATATTAATCCAAATAATGAAAATTGCATTAAAATACTTTCCATTAAAATAAATCTAGATTGAGTTAACAAAGCATTATCTAAAATGATAATAAAAGTATATATTATTAAAATAGTATATACGCGTATATATATGTGTATATTAAATGTTCTAATAAATAATAAAAATATAATATAATATAATAAATTACCGAATAATAATAAAGTTCCCGCTAAAGTAGCAGTCCATTGTTTTAGGCCTAATTCCAAAATTAAATGATAAGCTGTGGGAATTAATAGACTGCCGCATAATGCCGGCACTAATCGTAATGCGAATAGAGGTACAATATCCGAATAAGGACTGCCTATTCTATCAAATTTAAATTGACCATCGAAACCAGCTATATACGCTGCTGCAGAAATAAGTTGTTTTCCTAAAGGAGGATGTGAATCAAAAAAGAATGTTTTTTTCATATAAAGCCCTACATATTTTCCATAATGTAATTCATCAAACCTGTTTCAAATAATATTTATAATTAATGTTTATAATTTATAATTATTTTAATTAAAAAATAAATAATTAATAAATATAATTATAAAATTATAATAATAAAATTTTCGAAATCATATGTATATTATAATTATATATAATTAATTTATATATATTATATAATATATTATATAAAAAATAAATTTCATTTTACATAAAATAACTTACACTATACTTCGTGGTTCTTCTAAACGGTAAAATCGAGTAACAATTCCAGTTACCAATAAAATAACTGAAATTAAATCAATCTCTAGACTAATTTTAATTCGAGTTTTCAGTGTTGTATTTACTGGTATTTCTACTGTTTTAAATTTTTCGATCGTATTTGAAGCAATTTCATCTTTCTATTTAAAAAAAATTTAATTATATTAACTATATTAAATATATAAAATGTATGAATATATATATAATATATATATTGAAAAAATTTATATATAAATTTATATATTCAATATAAGAAATAAATTTGAATCGATGAAAAGCAAAAAAAAAAAAAATTTTTAAAATTTAAAATAAAGTTAAAAATTATATACAAAGTATATAATTATTTACCTCATCTCGTTGAACATTTTCAGTGCAATTAGTAGAAATATGTTCATACTCAAACTTGGCGCTTTGTACCTGCGATTGTTTGTTATCTAATATCCTTCGTCTTCGACGAACTATCATTGCATAAATTTGTTGTTTAAAATGTTGTTGTAATCCGTATGAGATATTTTTATTTCCTTAATTGCTATTATTTTGAAAAGTCAAAAGAGACGTTACCAAGCCACTACTTTGATCTAGTGTCGACCCACATCATCAAAGAATAGATTTAACATAACACTATCTTGTCTATGAAAATTTAAATTTCTAAAAAGTATTATCTCAAATTCTTACCGTTATATAAAATATTGGAAATATTAAATATTCTAATAAAATATTGGAAACATGTGATATTAAATTAATAAGAACAGTCACAGGTTATATTTATATGATTGTATATATAATATAACGGTACTATCTCTGAAAATCCCTGTGAGAATTCTTTCTGCGCATCGCGTGGTAATTTTATACATTGCTTTATTTATAAAATAAAGAAATTTCTTTGAAATATAAAAAATTTTATTATTTAAAAATTTTTTTGAAATAATATAATTTCAATAACAATATATCATGTAATATTCGATAAATTATGGATTTAATTTTCTTTATTTCTAAAATATTTTATTATTATAATTATAATTATTAAGTATATATTTATTTTATTGTAGATTAAGATATGGATAATGATAAAATTTCTTGTCCTATCTGTTCTGAAAAATTTTCTTCTACAATAATAGAAAATCATGTTAGTAAATGTTTATTCTTAAATGAATCAACAAGCAAAGAATCTTTTAATAAAATATTGGAAACATGTGATATTAAATTAATAAGAACAGTCACAGGTTATATTTATATGATTGTATATATAATATAACGGTACTATCTCTGAAAATCCCTGTGAGAATTCTTTCTGCGCATCGCGTGGTAATTTTATACATTGCTTTATTTATAAAATAAAGAAATTTCTTTGAAATATAAAAAAATTTTATTATTTAAAAATTTTTTTGAAATAATATAATTTCAATAACAATATATCATGTAATATTCGATAAATTATGGATTTAATTTTCTTTATTTCTAAAATATTTTATTATTATAATTATAATTATTAAGTATATATTTATTTTATTGTAGATTAAGATATGGATAATGATAAAATTTCTTGTCCTATCTGTTCTGAAAAATTTTCTTCTACAATAATAGAAAATCATGTTAGTAAATGTTTATTCTTAAATGAATCAACAAGCAAAGAATCTTTTAAGGATGAAAGCCCTGCAAGGAAATATGTAAAATTAAATAATACAAAAGCAAAAAAGAGTGATTTGGGATTAGTAAAAAAAAAAACTACTTTAATAGAATCATCATCAATAAATGTAGATTCTCAGATACCAAAAACTTCATTTAACATTAATGTAATTTTTTTCTTTGAATAAAAATATAAGAATGCCTAATAGATAATTAATAATAGTAATTTTTAGACAGATAAAGAAATTAAAAAATTATTTGGAAATGATTATATACCTCTTGCGGAACGCATGAGACCTACAACACTTTCAGGATATATTGGACAATTACACATTCTTGGACCATCTACTATTCTTTATCAATTATTAAATAAATTTGAAATACCAAATATAATTTTGTGGGGTCCACCTGGTTGTGGAAAGGTATTGTAAAATAATTTTTTAATTATATATAATTTGTTAATTTTATTTATAAAACAATATATTTTTATATATATTTTTTATACATACAAAAATTTATATATATACATATAAAGTTTTATATAAATTTCAGACATCTTTGGCAAATGTTATAGCTCACATATGTAAAACTAAATCAAATGGTAAAATAAGATATGTTAAGTTATCTGCAGCAATAGCTGGAGTAAATGAAGTAAAAGAAATAATAACTATAGCTACTAATGAATTAAAATTTAATAGACGTACAGTAGTTTTCATGGATGAAATACATCGTTTTAATAAAAGTCAACAAGATGTATTTTTACCACATGTTGAATCTGGTATTATTACATTACTTGGTGCAACAACAGAAAATCCTTCTTTCAGTTTAAACTCAGCACTTTTAAGTCGCTGTAGAGTCATTGTTTTAGAAAAATTAAATATATCTAATTTGATATGTATATTAAGCAGAGCTGTAATATCATTAGAAGGAATAGTGCATAATTCAAATAAAATATCGGAAAACACCACTCAAATACCAAAATTTATTATAGATGAACCAACTATAGAATGGTTGGCAGGAACCTCTGATGGTGATGCTCGTATAGCATTAGGTGGTTTGGAATTAGCAGTTCGATGTAAATTACCAAACAATGAAGATTTTGTGAAGAATGATCCTGTGACTATTACATTAGATGATATTAAAGAAAGCCTTAAAAAAACTCATATGTTATATGATAAAAAAGGTGATCAGCATTATGATATGATTTCAGCTTTACATAAATCTGTTAGAGCAAGTGATGAAAATGCTTCCCTTTATTGGTTAACAAGAATGATATTAGGTGGAGAAGATCCAAATTATATTGCACGAAGATTAGTTAGAATGGCATGTGAAGATATTGGTTTAGAAGATCCAAAAGCTCTTGGTATCAAATTCATAATTAATAATTATCTATTTTAATTCAAATCACTTGATTTAAATTGAATAAATAATACCTATAATTTTGCAAAATAATTTTCAGAAATTGCTATACATACAATGCATGGCTGTAAGATGATAGGAATGTCTGAATGTAATGTCCTTTTAGCACAATGTACAATATATTTAGCCAGAGCTCCAAAATCTAGATTGATGGAAGATGCACTTAGAGCTGCTCAAAGAGTAGTAGCTGAACATAAAGGACCTCAACCAGGTGTACCTTTACATTTAAGAAATGCTCCAACAAAGCTTATGAAAAATTTAGGTAAACAATCCATTTTATTTCTTATTATATAAAATTTTTACTATTTAAAATATATTAATGAAATATATTTTATGTACACTTTTCATTTTAGGATACAGTAAAGGTTACAACATGAAACACAAAAATAAATCAGGTTTGAATTATTTGCCAGAAGGATTAGAAAATGTAAATTTTTTTGATTATCATTAAAATATATATGTGCATACATATATCTTAAATAAAAAAAAAATATATATAAACTATTATAATATAGTTATAATATTAAGAAATATAGAGTATATTTTAAAAATTATCTTTTAAGCAAGATTAATTATCAAAATGCATAGCTTTAACAATTTAATGTTTTGTAATTGAATTAAAATAGGTTTTTAATAAAATAATATTTATCTGATTTAATATAATATATAATCTTTCACAATTATGAAATGACTAACATTTTTTTTACTTTATTATTAATAATTATTTATTTATATATTTACATTAATATATTTAGTATTTTTTCCATATTATGGTTTTATTGTTTGCAGGCATATCATAAATATTTATTAACTTCATTCCATTTTTTTCTGCTAATTTCTTTAAATCATTAATATCTCTGAGACCCCATCTTGAATCTTGAAGTCGTAAACTTTTATCGAAATTAACATTACTTTCTGGCGTTATTTTTCCATCCATAGCATAAGGTCCATATGTAAATAAAATACCATTATTTTTTAATAATTTACCCGCATTATTAAATAAACCAATAGAACACTCATAAGATGAAATGTGTATCAAATTTGCATTATATATATAATCAATACTGGCTTCTTTAAACATATTATTCTCCCAAGTATGAAAATCTGTCTTAATATCTATATGTAAAGATTGTTTTATATTTGAAAATCCATTTGCATAAGCTGTTATACTTTCTATTAGTTTTAAGTCATATTCTGAAGGATAAAAAGTTATTTCAGGAAAATGAGAAGCAAAATGGGCTATATGTTGTCCACTGCCAGATGATATCTCTAAAAAAATTTGACCTGGACTATGTTGAATATGTTTTTGAAGAATTAAAAGTATTGGATTCTTGTTACGATCAGCTGCAGGATAAACAAGTTTTTTGGTAGCCATATTAGTAGATCTTAAACTGAAAAAAATATTATTTTTATATTATCTAAATTTTATTACATATATTTATTTAAAAATTATTAAGGAAAGAATCAAAAACAAATCTTACCTACGACTAGCAGCAGAGTAGACAACTGCATTCATATTTAGTTATTGCATTGATATTTTTTGACCTGAAAAATTTAAGTATGAACTTTGCAGATTTCTTGGAAAATAAATAATTATTTAAAATATAATAAGTTAAAATACTAAGATTAAACTTAATGTGAATTAATTTTAATTTATTATATTTTAATATTATATTAAATTTTAAATTAAATTATTTTTAATATATAATAAAATAATATTTATGTAAAACAATAAATAAAATAAAAATGATTTTATTCAAACAAATTTTTATTATATTTATTTATTAATAATAAAATTGTACAATATGTAATACATAATATTGTATACATAATAACTTATAAGATTTATTAATTAAATATTTTTCACACACATTTTTTAAACTAATTACACTAAATTAAATTAAGTAATATGAATTATTTAGAGTTTAATAATTTCTTTTATCATGTTCTAATTTCTTTTATCTTTGCTTTTACTTGATTTTTCTTCTTGGTTCTTTTTATTTTTTATTGAATTTGGTATATATACAGAATGTCCTGTTTTCTTCAAGTGTTCAAATAATTTATTTTTACTAGGAAATTCAATTTTACATGTAATACAACAATGTGTTAGATCTGATATTTCAATACTTTGTGATTTTTTTTTTATATTTTTATTTTTTTTACTTTTAGATTTTTCATTATTTATTTCTACATTAACAGATAATAATTCTGTTTTATTTTTTCCTTTATTAAATCTTCTTCATATTCTTCTATTTTGTCATTAGATGATTCTTGATTATTTTCAGTAACTTTATTTAATAATGCTTTTTTTTGTTGCTGTTTCTTACGTTGTTTTTTTGATAATAACATATCTTCATTAATATTTATATCTTCATCACTAACTTGTTCTTTTATTGGATTTTGAAGATATTCTTCATATTCTTCTATTTTGTCATTAGATAATTGTTGATTATTTTCAACAACTTTATTTAATAATGCTTTCTTTTGTTGCTGTTTTTTACGTTGTTTTTTTGATAATAACATATCTTCATTAATATTTATATCTTCATCACTAACTTGTTCTTTTATTGGATTTTGAACATTCTTCTTTCGTTTTTTTTTTTTTGTTTTTTTAGGTATTTCTTCATCTTGTTGATCAGAGATAATCTCATCTTCAGAAGTTAAATATTCATTATCATTTTTGTTTGATGCTACATAAAGAAAATCATTCATTTGAGGATCTGTAGCAAGTTTAAATTTTTCTGAATAATATTTTACATTTTCTAGTATTTTAAAATCTTCAAATTCTTCATCATCTGAAATTAGTTCTTCTTCTGAAGTTTGTTCTCCAGTATTATTTTTGTTTTTTGAATTATTTTGAATAGGATTTAATAAAAAATCAGGCATTTGTGAATTTGTTGATAATTTTTTTTCACATTCTAAAATTAATTCAGAATTCACATCACTTTCTTGAGAATTTACAAATTTTATATCTTCTTGTATCATAGATACTTTTATTATTGCAATATTATCTTTATGTTTTTTAGAGTTTTCATGGTTTGTGAACGCTTTATGTGTTTTAAATATTTTATTGCAAGCTATACAATACATAGAATTATCATCTATTGTATTCTCATCATCTATATCTCCATCAAAAGATAAATCTTCGCCAAATTCTTGAGCAAGATTTGCTTCAATATTTTTAAGTTCAGCTTCTATGTTTGAAAATTTTGACCATTCTGATACTTTATGCTCTTTCAATTGTTTTTGTCTTTCTAACAATTGTTGTCTTTTTCGTTCTTCAACCTTCCTTAAATTCTCTTTTGCACGTTCAATTAATTTAGTTGTATGAATTTGCACTCGTTTATCACGTTTACGTATAAAAGCAACTAAATTTCTTACTTGTTCATTTCTTTCTTTTTTAGCTTTATCTCGAACTTTCTTATTTTCTTTTTCAATAAGACGTACCACTCTTCTATTAGGAGCATTTCTTATATCATAAGGATCTAACCAAGCAAATGATTTTTTTGTATTATAACTTTGCCAATAAGCATAAAAATTATGAACAACTTCTTTATATGAACTTTGGGAATCTCCAAATCCTGGAACTTCTTCATCCGAATCCCCTTCTTTTGAATATTCTAAGTCCTCAGCTGCTAATTTTTCAAACACATTACGATAAATAGTATAAAATCCTTTTTCATCATCTCCATATCCTTTGAAGCAAGTAGTTGAGAAATATTGAAAGAGATCAATAGAATCATCTTTATAATTTTCACCAATACCACCTTTTAAAATAGCATCACGATGATTATCATACCAAGTACGTTCATGAGGATCACTTAACACTTCCCAAGCTTGTTGAACAAGTTGAAATTGTTCTTTTGCTTCTTCTGGATTATTTAAATTTTTATCTGGATGCCATTTCAAAGCTAATTTTCTATAAGCTTTTTTTAAGTCATCATCAGAAGCATTTCGTGGTACCCCTAATACTTCATAATGACATTTCATTGTAGCAATAATTAATATTTCTTATTCACAATATTAAAAATTGTAGTTTAACTTTGTGTAATATAAAGTTATGTAAATCATACACTACAAGAAGATCATTGAATCGATAATACAATAATAAATATTCTTTTATTAATAGTTTTTTTTATCACATTTTATATTGTATATAACTTAAACCATATTTATATCAATAAATCTAAAACATATCTTACCTAATATTTTTTAACGATTATTTACAATAATGATTGATCTTAAAATTGTAAAAAATTATATAGTTTTCTTTCTAAATATAATTGCACTATAAAATTTTTTATTTTTTAAATATGATTACTATATAGAATAAGTTTCAAATTTTAGGTTATATATATATTTTCACATACATATACGATCATGTTCATATGAAGTTAGGTTCATGAGATATTCGTCACATTTATTTCAAGTCATATATTAAAGTAGACTGTGATACTATATATTTTAAAATTATATAAATATAAATGAATATTGTATTTTTATAGGTAAATTCTGTAATTCTAAATATAATTCTTATAAATAAATATGGATTTAATTCATCAAGCATCAACATTTACTTTTAAATGATAAGGAAAAAATTTTTATCAAATTATTAAATATATTTTGTTTATTATTATATTTTTTCTTTATCATTTTTTTTATTATAATGAGGTAATCTTATATTAATGAAATTAACATCTTATCTATGTACTCATTTTATTAATAATAATATTAAAAGTCTAATAAATTTTAAATAAATTTTTTATTTCAATTTTCTATTTTTTATAAAATAAATTTTAACAAAATCAAACATTGTAACTTTTATTTTATATCGAATTAGAAAAGATCTCTTTACTAGGGATTTTTTGACGTGGAACAGCTGATTGTATGCGTTATTCGTCTGACTATTCTCAACATCAAGATGGCCACGATCGTGAAAGTACAGTAAGGATTGTATGATTTTTGGCATATATCGCCAGTTACGACGTTTGGAGCCGTTGTCATTAATATTCAGTATTTTCGGTAAATATTTCTATGTTATTTTACATAGAACACGCGTTGATTTATCAAAATAATTATATAAACGCGATAAAATTAAAATTTTATAAATTGTCAGTGACATCTCGTGAACGTGATATAGCAGACGCCTCTAATTGCTTTTAATAGGTTTTCTTCGAGATCTTAGTGTATCGCGTTGTTACGATGGCCTTTGTGGTAGATGCTTGTCAAGCCCTTTTTGCTATGGATGAAGAATTCATTTGCTATCACCGAAAATATCTGTTATTAATATCAATGTAACACTGATTATTCTTCGACTACTTTATAACAAGGTTTTGTCATTTATTTATTACGGGATTATTTGATTGCATTGTCAGTTAACGACTTGTTTTGAATTGTTTCTTTGAATTACTGTTATCTTATATATCGACAGAAAAACGTATGTTGTAGATTTAATAATTCACATTTTTATATTTTTACAAATAAAACATGTGTGTAGCCTATATATTGTGTTTTTATATTGTCAAAACAAAAACTTTTCTTTTAATTAACTGACAAATTGATCTGCTTGTGAATTTATATTACAATAATTTATTCAACGATTAAGTTATAAAATTTTTTCATTTATATATAT